TGGCGAATTCAGCCCATTTATATTAAGAGAAAGTATAGAGAGATGCATTGTTGTCCCTGCCATTCCGTTTTCCTAAGTTTTTCTTCTTTTCTTTCCTCCTGTGCTTGCTCAGTTAGACTTTGAGTAATGCCTGTTTGGGGCAGGTCCCAGTTCCTGGTTGCTTTCTTCAGGTTGTGTCCCCCCTCTTAGAATTCTTTGTAATGCTGGCTTAATGTTTATGTATTCATTTAGTTTTTCTTTGCTATTAAAAGTTTTCAGTTCTCCATCGAATGTGAATTCTAGCTTTGCCGGGTATATCAGTCTGGGTTGGCAGTTATTGGCTCTCAGGGCTCGTATGGTGCTTTCCCAGGCTTTTCTTGCATTCATTGTTTGTGTGGAGAGATCTGCAGTGATTCTAATTTTTTCCCCGTTGTAGTATAGCTCCTTCTTCATTTTTGCTGCATGCAGGATTGTTTCCTTATTATTCAGATCCATCATTTTTACTATAATGTGTCTAGAAGTGTTTCTCCTGGGATCTTGCTTGTTGGGTGTTCGATAAGCTTTTGTGATGTAGTTAAGATGGTCGTTTTTGAGGTCGGGAAAATTTTCATTGACTATCTTGTTAAATAGGTGTTGCATTCCCTTGCTCTGGAATTCCTCACCTTCGTCCACTCCGATTATGCGAAGGTTAAATTTTTTAGCATTATCTGCTTGCTCTTGAATTTCCCTTTGGTTTAATTTGAGTGATTTTTCCATATCTGTCACTTTTTGGTCCAGTTGGTGTATTCTGTCTTCTGTATCTGACACTCTACCTTCCATTTCATTCACTCTGTTGACCGTGGCTTCTATTGTGGTTTGCATGGTGGAAATGGATCCCTTTATGGATTCAATGTTGGTTCTCAGAGTACTGATCTCACCTCTCAATGAGGTGAGATCAGTATGCATTACCTCTAATTTGGCGTTTATCTCACTTCTTACTGAGGTTTGTGCAGCTTCTATTTTTGCATCCAACTTTTGTTTGATATCCTGTATATCTTTTGATAGTTCATCCTTGTGCTCTTTCAATTTCTGATCCATTTCTCGCTTTATTTCTTGAGTCATTGCCTCCAGCAACCCTTGGATGTAGCTTTTGTCTTCCATTCCTGCTTTGCTCCCACTGGGGCTCTCCCCTGCGTGGCTGCTGGCTTTTGAGGTGAGCTTGCTGTCCTGGGTAGTGGTAAACCTTGTGATTTTTCTCTGTGATTTTCGCATGGGGGTTCAGGAGACTGCTCTTCAATCTTGTTTTGGTGTGTCTGTCTTTGCTTCGTTGCTGATTCTGTATTGGTAGAGAGAGTCTGTGCCTGATCTGGATTCTGTTGGGAGCCTATTTCCAGCTGCTATTCTGACTTACTTAGGATTCTCAGCTCTCTGCTGTAGATTGCTGGCAATTCCCGCCTTTGGAAGGGTTGAGCAGCCTAGACTGCTTGTGTTTGCTCCTGCAGGTGCTCTTGGGAAGATCAGATGCTCTGGATGCACTCTCCCAAATACTGGAGTCTGCTATGGGCTCCTGATGTGTTTTTGTTTGTTTGTTTTGGGCTGGTTGTGGGCTTGAACTCTAGGTTTGGGTGCTGTCCCTCAGCTCTTCAGCTCAAGGCTGGCACCCTACCATTTGAGCCACAGCCCCACTTCTGACCCTTTTTGCTTTGTTCAGGCGCCGGTCCCCGGGCCTGGTTCCGGCCCCAGCCTGGAGCGCACTCGTTAGGCCTGTGCTAATGTGTATACCACCTAGGTTATGCAGCCTGGAGGACACAGTTCAAATTTCTTCTACTGTTGGTAGTCTTGACCCAGGGGCGCTGTTCCTGGCTTGGGCATTTAAGCTCCCTTCCAGGGGCGCTCTTGCTCTGGCCTGGCCAGCAGAGTGTGCTCCACTGGCTGGTGGAGCTCTCGAACAGTTCCCAGTTTTAGTGGGTCCTGTGGTCCGGGTGTTGGGGTAGGGAGTCTAGGTCAGGGTCTGGGGATTCCCACCAGCTCTGGTCTCCCTTGAGGGATTCACTGTCCCCTGTTGGGTACTCACCCTGTAGGTCGTCAGTTGTTGTTGCAATCCGAGTTCAGTTGGGGTGGTTGCTTGCTGGGTTGGGCGGCCCCCGCCGGGTAGTTGCGATCGCGATTGGGCGGGTGGTCTGCCGACAGGTCCCTTTGTCGCGCTGCTGGTGCTGGGCGGCTTTGGCTTTGGCGGGATGGAGCCTCTCCGCTCCGGTGGAGAGTGAGGGGTGGGGGTGGGATCCTCGTGGAGACTCCCGGCTGGTAGGTTTCTCTGTTCCTGGCGATCCGCTGTTCTGCAATCCGGTACCTGGTGATCTGCAAGCAGCCCCCTGTGTCTCTGTGGCTCCGGCAGCCCCCCGCCGGGCCGGCTGGCCGACGGCTTGGCGCACTGCCGCGCGGCCAGTAAAGGTTGGGGGAGGGGTCTTCGCTCTTCTCTGTTCTGAAATTCTTCTTTTCCTCTCTTTCTTTTTTTGTTATTTTCCACCTCTGGTTTTTCTCTGAGTGTTCGTCTTTTTGTTGTTGTCGGTCTCTTGGGGAGATTAAGCGTTGGAACTCGAACTTTCTTTTTGGTTGGAGAGAGCTGTGGCGTTTCCCTACTGCCCCGTCACCATCTTGGTCCCCCCTCCTATGTGCTTTTTCTATTGTGGCTTCTCCAGGTGGAGGACACTTTTAGAATACTTCCAGTGTTTTGTAACAATCCAAACCATTTTGAAATACTGAAGGAAAACTTTGAAGGACAAAATATTTAAGTTTTCCTTCCTCGTTAAATAACCAACTCCAAAATGAATATAGGTTGAACATTCTTAATCCAGAATACTCCCAAGAGCCAAAACATTTTGAGTAGCCCATGACATCCCATGTGGAATATTGCAGCACACCTGGAATAGGGTCATAGTCAAATTGCAGGTTCCCTGGGAATATAACAAAATTGCTTTCAGGCTGTGTGTATAAGGTGTATATGAAAGATAAATCAGTTTGTATTTAGACTGGGATACTGGTCCTACAATATTTCATGTATATGAAAATACTCCAAAATCTAAAAATATGTGAAATCTGAAATACTTTTGGTCCCCAGCATTTTGAATAAGGGGTACTCAACCTGTATTTCCCAACGAGGAAGAACAGTGTGACAAATGACCCTAATCCTGTTTCCCTAGATTTTCCTATACAGTGTGGGTCTTGACAGTCCTTGCTATGTCTATATGCCATTACAACCCCAGTCCAAGACTCAGCACAAACCATTTGTCAGTATAGTTTAAATAGGTAGATGTTTTCAATAAGATATTTTTTTTACAAACTGAAAAAGATTACTTCAGTGGCCTTAGTTTTCTGTACCTTTTTAGAGTGAGGTCTTGGCTCATATCCTGATTATGTAACTTGTTCAATTTTTGGATTTGGGTCACAACTTCCCAAGAACACATAGGATGTTGGCACAGATCAGCTTGCTTGGAGGTGGTGAGGTTAGCTCTCAGGTTACTGCCACCAGAACTATAGATTGGGGGCACAGCAGTGCCTAAGCTTCCTTGGGTCTTCAGTGCACCAATGAAAGAGATGAGTTAGCTTCAGGAACCAGCTACTCGATTAGTCACCAAAAAAAAAAAAAAAAACCTATTGACTGCCCGCTCTTTATGTAAGAAACCACAATGGAGGACATTGTGTTACTTGGTGTAAATGCCAAAGCCCATGGAAATGGATATATCCGTAGTTTAGAAAGAAAATACTCTATTGCTCTATAAAAAATAAATCCCTGGCAGATAAGTACAGTGAAGGAATTACCTGTTATGGTGACATGGAAGAGGGTAAGTTGTCTTGTATGAGTCCATGGTTCCTACATAGTGGAAGCAGGAGCACAGGCCTAGAAAGCACTTGAGCAAGAGGAGCTGATGGTCTCATCTACAGCAACATTGAGTGCTTGAACTGAGGGAAAGTAGCTGGGAGAGCAGAGTGGAGCCAAGAGGATCTTAAAAGTATCCTGACATGGGTTGTCAGGTCAGCAAACAATGCTGAGAGCTGGCTATTACTAGGGGCTTATTTTATTTTATTTTATTTTTTTTTGTCGGTCGTGGGACTTGCACTCTGGACCTGGGCGCTGTCCCTCAGCTCTTCAGCTCAAGGCGAGCGCTCTACCACTTGAGCTACAGCGCCACTTCTTAGGGGCTTATTTTATAACAGTATGAAAAGTGTGTATGTGTGTGTATGTATGTGCGTGTGATTTTTCTTGTTTCATGGGTGAAGAAGACACTATCTTATAGGTGGTTTTTTCCCCCCAAGATCACATAGCTGGTGAAAGAGTTGGAACTTGCATCAGTATATGTTCCTTAGACTATCCAATGCTTATATTCCCTCTGAAGAGGGACAAACATTAGTGCAGTAGTGGAGACAAACATTAGTGCAATAGTGGAGACACTTTGGTGTAGCATTATTAGGTTGAGCTATATGGAAGCACCTTTTTTTTTTTTTGGTACAGATGTAAGATCACTTTTTCAAATGTAATTTTATTATTATTAAGTTGTTGTACAGAGGGGTAGTACTGTGAGTACATTTCTTATAGGATACTGTCACCTCTTTCTTCACTTTTCCCCAGTTCCTCCCTCCTATCCCTGTCCACAAGTTACATAGTTCATTTTCCATATAGTGTTTGCTGAGTGCCATGCTTGCATTTGTTCACATTTCTTCCCTCCATTTCTGGGAAACATCATTTGTGTAGATCAGAGTAGCTGAATATCAGCAGCAGCACATACATGGTTTAACCTAATAGTGCTCTGCTGAGGCTGAGAGAAAAGTAGAAATGCCCCTGGGGTTTGTGTAGGAAGGAACAAGGTTGGGTGGACAAGGCAGGATCTGGGTAGGCAGAGAGGTGAAGAAGAGAAAGAGAACAATCAGACGGGAACAGGTGCCTTGGGGCTCTCAAGGAGAGTAGTGTAGTGTACCCTCACTCTCATGGGGTGAGCATGTGTTGGTTGGTTATTTTGTTTGTCTCCACCATGGCCTTCTCTTAGGAGACAGGTGAGCAGATTGCAATTAAGCAGTGCCGACAGGAGCTCAGCCCAAAGAACCGAGATCGCTGGTGCCTGGAGATCCAGATCATGAGGAGGTAAGGTCCTGGTGCCTAGATGTGGGAGCATGTTTGTGTCTAGGGGATGCTAAAATGAACTCTGAAGCACTGGTCTCACCTGCTGCATCCAGAAAGGAAGATTAGAGTTGGAGATGTGGTTCAAATAACAAGGCTCTCATTTCAAACTCTACTACTGGAAAAAAAAAAAAAAAGAGTGTGTATGGGGGGATAATTCTTGCTCCTCCATCAGACTACTAGCCTGACTGACACTCCGCTTCCAGAAAGTTCTAGTTGGGAGCTCCACCACTTGAGCTACACCCTCAACGCTACCAGACACTTCTAGACAATAAGCATTTAAAGACTTTACTGGGCCTCATAGTCAATTTATATTAAAAATAATAATAACTTATTCTTATTTTTGGTCATGGGGCCTGAACTCTGGGCCTGGGTGCTGTCCCTCAGCTCTTCAGCTCAAGGCTAGCGCTCTACCACTTGAGCCACAGTGCCACTTGTGGCTTTTTCTGCTTATGTGGTGCTGAGAAATCGAGCCTAGAGCCTCGTATGCAAGGCAAGCACTCTACCACTGAGCCACCTTCCCAGCCTATTATATTAAATAATTTAAGAAAGTTATCATAGCCAGGTATGATGGTCTGTGCCTGTAGTTCCTGCTCTAATTTCCTAATAACAGGAGAAATCAAAAGTCACATTCATTATGTGCCCAAACATTTGCATATATCACCTTCCACCTTGAATAGCAAGAGCTTAGAAGTTCTTTTGTTTTCTCTATTAGAGGCAGTTTTGCATTTGAAATGGGGCATCCTAAAGAAACTTTTGCATCACATGAAACACTCATAAATGTCTTAGTTCAGGGTGTTGAATAAGCTACCAGTTCCTGACCTCCACCTCCTACTTCTGTTACTTCTAAGGTCCTGGTTTTTCCCAGTCTTTGTTGGAAGGTGAGCTTGGCTGAGACACAGAAGCAAGGAATAGGTTTGAGCTAAAGCTTGGGTTCTATTCTCACTGGTTTTTCTCCTTCCTAGGCTAAGCCACCCCAATGTGGTGGCTGCCCGGGATGTTCCCGAGGGGATGCAGAATTTGGCACCCAATGACTTGCCCCTGCTGGCCATGGAGTACTGTCAAGGAGGAGATCTCCGAAAGGTAAAGCTCCTGGGTGGCAGGATGCAGACCCATTGAGGCAGGCTGGGACCCTAGAAGGGAGGGGTAGGAAGCCTGTCATCAAATATGTCATCGCCCAGAAGCTGGGTTTTTACAGTGACTTGCTTCACTTTCCCAAGCCCTCTTCTGTGTCTACTTCAGGGTGATATGTGAATGTAAATCAAAAGGTTGAATCAGTTGCCTTTGAAGAAAACCACAGAGGGACTCTCTTGACTCTGCATTACATTACTGAAAGGACAAGGAATGTCATCTCTAGATCTGGACCATAAGAGGCCACAGATGCCTCCTTCCTTGGCATGTCAGAACACTGCTGGTTTAGGGGGCCTTTTTGTTGTCATTGTGACAGGGACTTTATAGATGTGACACTGCTGTACAGAGTTATCAAATGTAGCAGGAAGAGTCATTAGGGAACTGGCTGTGGTGCCAGAGCTTCCCCTGATTCATCTGCCAATTTTGCTTTCTTCCTCCTCACTACAGTACCTTCTGTGTACACTGGAAGTTGGGCAGTCCTGGCCTCCCCAGTGACAATTCCATGAATACCTATATATGATCTTCACAATGGTTCCACATGACCTCTGTTTCACACAGAATCTCATGGCTTTTAGTAGCCCCATGACAATAGTATGCAGATAGTACTCCTGCATTACTGGTGGATGTTGGAGCCCAGGGAGGTTAGACTGAGGGCCCCACCTCACACAGCTACAGGGATAGAGCATATGGATTCAGCTGCAGGTTCATCTCTACTGGTAACACCGAGTAATGACATAGCATTGGGAAAAGTCAGATATCTAACCAGAAGAGTTGCTTTATCTGTTCTACCAGTCATTCCTTTCAACTCTTACAGTAAGTCTGTGATTTGTGGGGCTTGGGCCAGAGAAGTTGCCCTCATTAGTTCTGTCCTTACATGGCAGTTTCACAGATAAAATTATATGCTGTTCTCATCATTCCTCTGGACCTGTCACCTTATTTTATACAAAGAAAGTTTCCATAAGGGTCAGTCTGTATGAGTGACTTCTGCTGTGGAGGTGGCTTATCCTGGGAGTGATGTAGGTCAAGGCCATCAGGGCAGGCTATGTGTAACATTCTTGGCATGACTCATTAGTGGGACTGATGACCTATTAGAAATGGGGAGTTTGATTCTCCTCCACTCTCCTAACCTTTTCATGGTCATCTAATCCCTAGGTGTGGCTGTAGAGATAAAGCCATGCTGCTATAACCAAGTGAGAGCTCTTAGATGGCAGCCTGGGTGTAGAGGGATGTGATCAGATTATGGAAAGCTTGGAAGTAGTTGGTCACAGGATTGCACACCTGGCTTTCTAGTCAGCAAAGAGCCTGGTATGGAAGGCAAGAGGCAATTGCTTCTTATGGGGCTTTTGTACTTATATCCCTAGAGGGTGACAGAACTGTTGCCAGAGGTCTTACAAAATGTTAATCCCTTTATTCCCAAATGAGGTAGTCTTTCTTTAATTTTCTCAAATCACAGACAAGGCTGGCCAGCACATAAGTACATCAGAAGTGATTTAAAGAGTTAAGTCAACTGCATATAGCATATACTTATTCTCAGCTACTGGGTAGGCTGAGGCAAGAGTACTGCTTGAATCTAGGAGTTTGAGATTAGCCTTGACCACATAGTGAGATCTCATCTCAAAAAACAGAAGAAGAAAGAAAAAAAAGGAAAAACCTAAAAGTAGTTATGGATAATACATGTTAGTTAATGACCCTGGACCCCTTTCTCTATTGAGAAAGGCTGTCTAAGTTCCTTTATAAGTGGAGGGGCCAGGTGGGCAAAGGACTATGTGATTGGTCTTAGGTAGACTTGGCTTTCCTTTCTTTGTCCCTCATCTGTGTACTGTTGGATGTTGGAATCTCTTAGTCTCCATTTCTTCACATCTGAGATGGGTCCCAGAAGTACTTTCCTCAGCGGGAATAGTGGGATTCAATGAGATAGGTCAGGTGAAGCTGGACAGAGCTTGTTCCTGAATCCATTTAGGTGCCCATTAAACATTCACTGCAGTTTTCATGGTCCTGTGTGGCAAACCTATATCAGGGAAGTGATCAGAGAGTGGTTTTCTGTGAGTCCTTCCCCAATCTGCCGTGCCTCTGGGCTTAGACTCTGGCTTCCTCCTTCTGACCTGTAGTAGCAGGTGAGGCCTGACAGTTCCTCATCTGAGAGTGACTCACATATCTCTGCCAGGGCCAGCACTGAGGACGTGAGAGCCTCTGGGCGCTGCCTTACCTTCTACTTCCCCAGCTTCCCCCATGTGTGGCCTGCAAAAGCCCATGGCCAGTGTTAGCACTCATGACTATTGTAGAAGATGCTGGTGGGCTTGATTGGTGATCATCTACACACTGACTCTTTTCAACTTCTCTATAGTACCTAAACCAGTTTGAGAACTGCTGTGGCCTACGGGAAGGAGCCATCCTCACCCTGCTGAGTGACATTGGTAAGTCCTAGTTATGGAAGCCAGGTTGTGCCCTTCAGGGAGGGCATATGGCACACCTAGGAGTCCTTTGAGGGCACAGATGGAGCTATTTTTGTTCTCTGGTCTCTATAGAGTTTATGATAGGGGTGTGGAGGGGCCTAGTGGCGTGGGTAGGTCAACAAGGGGCTAGTCAGGCAGTCACTGAGCTGAAATAGATTTCCTTTCCTTCCTGACCAAGTCATGAAGTGTGATGTATGTGGAACAGATTTCCATTTCTCTTAAAAGGGTCCACTCCCTGCTTTCCTGGAACAGCCTGCAATGGAATAGGTTGTCATTTGAATGAGTTTCATCCCTTGGCTAGGAATGTTTCCACTCCCATGTTGACAGTTCTCTGCCAGCTTCAGGCGTAGGAAAACTTGCCCTTGTTTAATCCTTTGGTCCTGTTGTTGTCCTCGAATGAGAGTGTCCCTGGCACTCTCTAAGTTGACTTTGGGGAAGAGTCAGGTCAGTCTACAGAAATGCATGGTGTGTGCTGGCCCTGGGGCCTCCTCTGAGGAAGGAAAAGTAGGGCTCTGAGGGTCAGCCCTGACTCTGGCCTAGCAAAACACATGTCAAAAGTGTCACAGCAGGTTCCTCAGGACTTTCAGAAAAATAACAGTAGAAACCAAGGTTATTGGTAGCAAATGATCATTTAGGACTTAAGGGTTAGAGTTATCTAGAGTTTATCTTTGGATATTTGCCTCCAGATTTGGAGAATTTGACTCCATTTTTTATTTCTCCCCTATCTCAAGCTTTTGAAGCTGTATGTACTTCTGTTTGCTCAAGCTTTTTCTTTTTTTTTGAGATCATCAAACATACAGAGAGTTAAGAGACGTATCTTGAAATCATATACCTTTTTGTTAGATTCACTAGTCACACATTTGCACAGCTGTGTTCTCTGGCCCCTGGCTTACAAAGATGAGGCCTTTGGTCTTAAACATTTTGCCTTACCAGTGTATGGAGCTCTCTTCCTTACTCTACTTCTTTCCATAAAGAGGAGGCAAAAAGGAAGTGAATTGGAAAAGTTAAGCAAAGATTCAAGTAGTCTGACTACTGTGTGGAAGGGATCACATAAAAGGCAAGGTGACAATGTACCAGTCTCAACCTCTCTCTCTTTTTTTTTTTTTTTTCCGGTCGGTCATGGGGCTTGAACTCTGGGCCTGGGCACTGTCCCTCAGCTCTTCAGCTCAAGGCGAGCGCTCTACCACTTGAGCTACAGCGCCACTTCCGGTTTTCTAGTGGTTTATTGGAAATAGGAGTCTCATGGTCTTTCCTGCTGGAGCTGGCTTTGAACCTGGCTCCTCAGATCTCAGCCTCCTGAGTAGCTAGGATTATAGGCGTGAGCCACCAGCGCCCAGCCCAACCTCTCTTGAGTGGAGAGACGCCCTCAGCCCAATGCTTTTTCCATGGGTTGGCACACATGAATCACCTGGAAGTACCTTCTCTGTTTCCTGGAGGATCTAATCTAGAAGTTGACAGTTTGACTTGTTTTCTTACCACCTTGTCTCATGGCTTGTCTATTCACATTTTGCTTAATTACTTACATGTATCTCTTACCTCAGTGATCACATTAATATTTATTGTTTATTGAATTGGAGATTGAAGATAAGTTAGTAAATTGGAGAATAGTCTGGTCTTCTGGGAACAGCTTTTGTTCTCTTTGGTTAGAACTTCATTAAGTTATTTTTCTTTGATGTTACCTCAAATAGTTTTCTTCCACTCATTACTCCTTAGATTATGCATTTAGCAATTGTTAATAACAGATCCTTAGCTGGGTATAGCAGCTCATGCCTGAAATAGATACGCAGGAAGGAGAGATGAGAGGATTCCAGTTCAAGGCCAACTCAAATAAAATGTTAGGGAGACCCCAGTCTCAGCCAACAGATGGGTGTGGTGGTAATTTGAGTTGTGTAAGAGGCAGATAGAATTGCTGTCCAACCCAGTCAATACATACATTTGAGACCCTATTCCAAAAATAACTGAAGTAAAAATAAATTCTGAGGATACAGATCAACTAGTAGGGGGCTTACCGAGGAAATACAAGACCCCAAGTTCAACCAAACAAACAAACAATAAATAGACATGAAGTGAAATAAGAAGTAGGTTAATTCTAATGTAATAGTTTTTCAAAATATTTTCAATTTAGGGCTAGAGAAGAAAAACAGAAGATTAGTGGCCTAAAATACTTAATATCTGAGCTTGGAAGTTGGCTCAGTGGTAGAGCACTTGCCTTGCATGCCTGAGGTCCTGGGTTCAATTCCTCAGCACCATATAAGCAAAAAGAAAAAAGCCAGATGTTTAAATTTTTGGCTCAAGTACACATGATTGTCTACTACTTTATATGATTTTTTTTTTCTTGAGTGATCTTCAACAAATATTGATAATGCCTCTGCTGTTCACAGTGTCTTTTGGTTTACGTACATTTTGAATCCAGTTACTATTGACTTGTATGGCAATGTCTGTGCTACCTATTGAAGTGTGTGTGTGTGTGTGTGTGTGTGTGTGTGTGTGTGTGTGTGTTATACAAATCAGATGAAGACAGGTGAACTCTGAATTACTTATATATGGATATTAAGTTTTTTTGTTTTGTTTTTTGGGTCCGGTCGTGGGGCCTGAACTCTGGGCCTGGGCGCTGTCCCTCAGCTCTTCAGCTCAAGGCTAGCACTCTACCACTTAAGCCACAGCGCCACTTCTGGCTTTTTTCTTTTTGCTTATATGGTGCTGAGGAATTGAACCCAGGACCTCAGGCATGCAAGGCAAGTGCTCTTCCACTGAGCCAACTTCCAAGCCCAGATATTAAGTATTTTAGGCCACTAATCTTCTGTTTTTCTTCTCTAGCCCTAAATTGAAAATAGATTTTGAAAAACTATTACATTAGAATTAACCTACTTCTTATTTCACTTCATGTCTATTTATTGTTTGTTTGTTTGTTGTTGAGGATAGAACCCAGGGCCTCGTGCTAAGTGGAAGCTCTTTCACTGTGCTACATATGCAGCCCTCAATTAAATTTCTTAAAAATGAAGCTTTAGGGCTGGGAAGGTGGCTCAGTGGTAGAGCGCTTGCCTTGCATGCTTGAGGCCCTGGGTTCGATTCCTCAGCACCATATAAGCAAAAAAGAAAAAAGCTGGAAGTGGCGCTGTGACTCAAGTGGTAGAGTGCTAGCCTTGAGCTGAAGAGCTGAGGGACAGCGCCCAGGCCCAGAGTTCAGGCACCATGACCAGACCCCCCCCCCAAAAAAAAAAAAAAAAAATGAAGCTTTAGTCACAGCCTTTTCTCCAGAATATAGAATAGTAGTTCATCATATTTAAGTCATCGATGAATATTTATTAAATGAATAAAATAAGTTCTAAGATAAAATAGCACTGGTGACAGTGGCTTACAGCTGTAATAGTTACTCAGGAGGCTAAGACTTGAGGATTATGGTTCAAAGCCAGCCTGGGCAGAAAAGTCTGGGAGACCCTATTGCAAATCAGTCACCAAAATAATAGACTGGAGGCTTGGTTCAAGTGGTAGAAAGCTAGCTAGAACACTAGCCCTGTGAGAGTGTAGGGCCCTGAGAGTTCAAGCCCTGCTACTGACATACACACATATAAACAACAATAAAAGAAATTAAAGCTGAGTACCTTTGGCTCATACCTGTAATCCTAACTATTCAAGAAGCTAAAATTTGAGGATCACAACTTGGAGCCATCTGGGTCAGAAAAGTCCATGAGATTCTTATCTCCAATTAACTAGCACAAAGTCAAAAGTGGTAACCAATCTCAAGCTAAAGCTCAGTGACAACACTTAGGCCCTGAGTTCACTCTCCCCCCCCCCCCCCCATTAAAACAAGTTTTCACTTTCTCAAGGAAACAGATTTCCACATAACACTTAAAGCTCACAAACCAGCCCTTTCACTGATCAGCAGTGTGACCTGAGGCATTTCAGTGCGTCTGTTTTATTAACTGTAGAATGGAGGCATTATTCATCTCATTAGACTTTTCATGAAGATAAAAAGAAAATGGAGCTGGGCGCTGGTGGCTCATACTTGTAATCCTAGCTACTTAGGAGGCTGAGATCTGGTGATTGCAATTCAAAGCCAGCCCAGGCAGGAAAATCAGTGAGACTCCTATCCTCAATTAACCACCAGAAAACCAGAAGTGGCACTGTGGCTCAAAGTGGTAGACTACTAGCCATGTGCAAAAGAGCTCAGGAACAGTGCCCAAGTCTATGTTCAAGCCCCATGACAGACCAAAAGAGAGAGAGAGGGAGGGAGGAAAGGAGAGAGAGAGAGAGGGATGTATAGCTCCTAGCACAGTGCTCTTTTCCTGGTAGACTGTGCAGTTAGTAGTTGTTCTTGTTCATTTCCTTCCCCCTCTGGATTTGGGTTTTGCTGCCTTAGACAAATGCCAGTTCCTGATTTTGATTTTGATCTGAATTTGAAGCAAACCTGACAGCAAACCTGACAGGTCTCATGATATTCCCTGGAAGTGGCTGACCTCCCCAGACTCATCTCTCCCATTCCTGTCTCTGTCATCTTTTATATGCAGTCATATCCTCAGATGAGGTTGCTGATAAGCATTTATTCCCATTTTTGACTTGTATACCAGACCCATCATATTTATTTCATTTGTGAAAGTCTCATGACTGAGTCAGAGTTCAAAAGCTTTACTTGGAGCAACTTATCTAACATTACTCATATTTTTAAACATTTCCTGAACATATTTTGTTCCAGGTTGTTTGAAATCATCATTCCTATGCTCCTTTTGTTGGAATTGTCACTGCTGCTCCCTGTCTGGATGATAGTGGCTAAGCCAACACCCCAGGTCTAGAGGAGCTAGCTCCCTTGTCTTTATTCTGGATTAAACTTGTTTGCTTCTAGTCTCTTTTGTACCCCTAACCTCATAACACATCCACTTTGAGTAGCATCAAGAAAGCAGCACAGGTAGAATTTTTTTCCATGAACTGAGAAGATACAGCATTGTACACATGAGGAGGTTACA